TCGACTTTCATCCGATCTGGCATGAATTCCTCAACCTGAAATTGAACTCTGCCAATGACTTGATCGGCAATCTTCATCTTGGCGATATAGTTGCCTGTCAGCGCGTAGTCAGGAATGGGGATTTTCACATCGCAGGCACCGCTTTTGTTTGTTTGATGTCTTAATTCCCGCATGATTCTGCCATCTGGTGAGATCACTTCAATGCGGGTGGGGGAGTGGTTCAGGTGTCGCCTGCTTTGGTCCCCGTACAATACCAGCGAGTTGAACAGTTTCACCGGGTCGATAAACCCCTCTGCTCGTGTAGAGAAACGCTTCATAGCCTTTTTGCAAATAGGCGGGTCCTGCGATGTCAAAGTCTACTGTTGCGATTTCATGCCTGTCCAATTGAATAAAGGCGAGATCGTCACGTTTCGCGACAGTAATCATAAACGGTATGAAGTCTTCAGTTTTCTCTGCAACCTCGGTAAATTCGACAAATCCTGCCCAGTTAGTTGTGCCACTGAGCAGTGTCTGGTTATTGTCGCTGATGACTTGGACACGCGCTGTTGGCACCGGGGCTCCAGTGGCAAGGGATTTCACCCAAACATATAAGTGATCCCCGGTGCGTTTAGCACTGATACCCAAATCTGTGATAAGCACCCATCGGTGCGCGCCGTCCCACTGTCTATCTGCGTTTCGGGCTACAACCTTGAAGATACCTACACGTTCGTCTGAGAGATACTCTTCTAAGGAGATAGGTGTCGTTACCTCTTCGTTCAATTGCGGGGGTATATCAAGTTTTTCCGAATGAATAGGTTTGCCTAAGTTCCTGCTCCAGCGACGCCACCTGTCTAATCTTGAAACATAGATGAGGTTATTCGCAAAGACTTTCTCAATATCAAGCTCCACGCGTTTAACGTTAATCGTCGCGAGTCCGAGGTTTAGGTGTCCTTTCCTCGCAAGGAAAAAGCCGTTACCAAGAAATCGAAGCTGCGGTTGAAGATCCGGAATTCTGAGCCGCGTCACATAGTCCTGTTTTAAAATAGCATCGTTTCGTGCTGTCAAACCGCGCCGAATTTTCAGGGTAGGTGGTACGCCGCTTAAAATTGCCGTAGATTTTGATGTTCCGATTGCCGGATGTCATTTGATAGTCTACTGCTGGCGTAAGTTCTATATAAGGTTCAACGGTATCGCTGAGTATCGGTGCGCTAAAATTGACTGAAATATAAGGCTTACCATTGCTTTCCCGAACGTCTGAATATGTTACACCGAGTGTCCCTCTAACACGGAGTATTACGGGTGTAACATGTGCTTTTTCCAGACCGATTTGCCCACCTATGCATTTAAATCCCTTTTCAATTTTGACTTTTATCTCTCGGTCTGCGTTACCGCGTCTTATCCGTGTCGTCTCGAATTTTACTGTTCGTGCTGTCGCTGTGTTGGTTTTGAATCTGATAAGGGATTTCTGTCCCATCATCTAGGGCAATAGAGAGATGTGCCTTTAAATCGGCGGTCGTTACTAGGTAATTGAAGGCTATTGTACCGAGACCTGTTGCGTATTCACGTGTCTCGTCAGTGCTAAATTCCATACGTGTTTGCTGGACTGTGAAAGGTTCGGTAGCGAATTTAAACTCTTTTTGACCGGTGAGTTGGAAGGCTTCAGATGGGTTGATTTCAGATGTGAGTTCGACAGTATATTCTGCTGACGGTGCTAAAGGTGCGTCTAAAAAGAAACCTATTCTGTCGAATGCTACCCAACGGGCGGTGCCCTGAACGGCTGGCGTAAACCGAAGAGCTTCCGCTGGAACTTCTGTCCCGACACGCGATTTATCGATGATGCTCTCCGAAAAAGTAATCGAGAAATCGGTCCATTGTGGGACTTCTCCTTGTGGCGTGAAAGTCTTAACGCTGTATCGTGTCTTGGCACTTACGTTTCCCTGCACAATGTAGAAGATGCAGGCACCGAGGAGTATAGACATTAATCCTATAACACCTATTAAACTTTTTAGTAGCAAATTTCGGCTCCCAGGTTCCGCCGAAAGATTTTTGGAAAGTTTGGAAAACACCATGAGAAGCGCCCCCTGTACTTTAAAGATTTTGTCCTTATCAGTTTTCTTGTTTTTAACAATTAAGGACTATTTGTAGAGAATTCTTCTGTTTGTAAGACGTTGCTTGTAGATTCCGACAAATTTAACGAATATAGGAGGAAAAAGATACTGGATAGGTTAAGCAATTTTCATGCCAATGTTTTATAGAGCGTTGTGCTAAGTGTTTAAGAAACGGTAGTAAGATTTAAACGGGGTTTAAGATTGTCAGGAAAGAATCAATAGGGTGTCTTTGGGTGGCATTATGTGTAAATATAAACACATAGGGACGGATCTGTGTATCCATCCCTATAGGTAAGCATTTTGGTGTGGTTTCAAGTCAAAGTGTGTTCTATAGCGAACAATCTTCAGAACCAGAATCGTGACATCAAAATAATTTGGTCTGTACCTTGGAGTTGACGTAATGTGCCTTTATCTCGGATGGTATCCTCCTCACCACGATCAGCATTGGGGAGGTTTGCCCAGTAAAACAGCGAGATTGCCCCGTTTTCCATGAAATTATATTGGGCACTGAGTGTCACCCGCTGGCTTGCGTCACCCTTAACTGTCCTATCTGGATCGAACAAGCCGTATCGGCCCGCAACAGTGAGTTGAGGCAGAACGCGATATTTTGCACCGACATAGTACCCCTTTGAGTCAATATCATCGGAGGCAAAAGAGGCTACTTCTCCACTGTTTCCAATATTGAATTCCCCTTCAACACTCAGACCAGCGTAGGAAGCAGTCAGAAACGCACCGATGAGGCGTTCCCAATCTTCTCCGGGTTTTTCAAATATGCCAGATATACCGGCTCTGACGGGTCCGAGTCGTGCACCGAGTGTGCCAAGTCCGCCTTTTGCTGTCGCATTATCAGCATTAAAGAACGCCGCATTATAGAAAACTTTTCCTGCACTTCCGCCGAGTTCAATCCCGACATCCCGTTTGTTAGAACCGAGTCCGTAGCCTTCCCGGACGAGTATGTTGTGATCCTTATGTTTAATGGCGAACGGGAGTCGGAATTGCCCGACTTTAACGTAGAGATGTTTCGGGATAGCATCTACCGTTGCGAATGCATTCATAGTTGTCCCGACATTATTGGAAAGGGTAAGCCTGATGTGTTCTGAGGCTTGCGCGTTGAATGTTACTTCTGCTTGCATGAGCAGAAATCTGTCCACTGAAGAGTGGCATGAATTGCATCCAGCGACAGCGTTTTCTTCTCCGTCAACATGTGTTGTTTTGATGAATGCAGTCTGGAAGTCAAGCGATGTTGTGAGCTGTTTGACGACCTTCTTGGCTTCTTCTGTTACAGCTTCCATGTCAAAGTCTTCAGGAAATTCAAAATAGTTCTCTTCAAAAATTTCGCCGATACGATTTCGGGGACCACCACCTGCCGGATCAAGATGACAGAAACTACATTCTTTCTCAAGTTCGGTTGCAAATTCAGGGCGCGCCTCCGCAGCAGTCGGTAAGAAAAAACTGAACGCCATACCCGCTATGAATGCGAGCCGTAGGAACGATAGCGAGACACCGGACATATTCAAATGTTTTAATCGTGAGGTAGTGTGGCTGAAGCACTGCACACAGTTATTATAATGTGTGTTCATATAATGTGTGTTCAACATTTTCTTCAGATTGGAATCTCCATGCTTTAGCTTGGAGAGGAAAATCTGCCTTTATATATCGAAAGTGAGTTGGAGTGCTAAGTTATTCTGTTCCACTTTCGGTTGTTTAGACACGAGGTTGTATCTAAAGTTAAGTCTGGTTAATATTTTACAATCCTCTAACTTTGCAGAAAGGATTAGTCTTTTACCACCTTGTATAAGTTGTAAAGATAAACCGCCTTTCTGGTGGCCACACACTGCTGCCATACCATGTTTGACATGTTTCACAAGAGTGTTCTTTACTACACCGAGACACATTGTACCTCCAAATCGTGGTCTTTTGCCGCCTTTCTGTGGTAATTGTCTATGTAGTTGTCGTCTCTTAATCTGTAAAGGTGATATACGGAATATATCTGTATTATCCACAATTGGTTCACCGCCAATCACATGATATGCCAGGCACCAACTATCCACACAATGTGCATCAAAAGATTCGGCAGTCTTATCAGATGACTTTTTCAAACCAAGACTCTCACGTATAGACTTTGTTTCGTAGCCTTGTATAGTAAGTAACTGCCACCTCTTTTCAACCTCACCATAGAACCAGTTTTTACCCACTTCAAGCGGACTAAACGACTGATTCCATTTTTTAGCACCTTCCCAGGCACTCGCCTTAATATCTTCTACGCATACATGTGTAACTGGATACAACTTGGCGAGCCAATCCAGTATGCGCAGTTTCCAGTCCCACCTGGCACGAGTCCCAGCGGGGATGCGTTCTTTATTAGCAAGGCGGTTCATGCGGTTTTTCCTATTAGGACACTTTCGTGAACGCCTACCATGCCTTAACTCTCTGCGATTCTTGACCTTCTTCGCAGTATGAGTATGCGCATCCGCCTGAACATTGAGATATGTATGGGACTCAGATTTCACGGTGAAACCCTCTTTCTTACTACCAGGATCCACACCCACACATATCTCCTGCGTCCATTCTTTACTTTGATAATTCAGACGTATACAAAATATGCCGTTGTCCCAGTAAGGCGTTGCCTGCTCCGACTTAATCATCATAGCAGCACGCGTTTCCGTTGTAGGCATCAACCGCTTACCCTCTTTACTCTTTACAGGAACGAAATTCATCGTAAACTCCCTTGCGGGCTATATGTTTCCCCATTGAGATCACAATACAGAGAGGAATCAGACTTGAGGAGCATCCGAAACATCTTGTTGTGTGCCACCACAAGCATTGCGATATATTACTCTATTCAGCGTCTCACGTTGTTAGGACCCCAGTTGGCTACCGATATTCTAACAATCTCCAGCCTTTAGGCTGGAGTCACTGAAGTGCTGTGAAAACATAATCGATGTCTTCGACTCGGGCGTGGCATCCCCAACACACACCATCTTTGGCGATGACGCGGAACTCAGCATCTGACGCGTTTCGGGTGTATTCGATGAACTCCCAATCATTATGTTCTGGGTCCACGCCTGCTTTCTTCCGCATAATCGCGATGAGTCCAACATAATCCTTATCCGGACGGTATGCTTCCTTTACAACGATGCTTCCATCGGGATATGGGAACTGCTGTTCGCCGTTCGGTGCGATGTCTTCCCCGTGTTTTATTAACATAAACGTTTTTAGTCCCGTTGTGCGGGTCACCGCCAGGTACGGGCGGTATAGGTTCAGCGTTTAATTTCAGCCACTGCGTATAGCCTGCCGCATCATCGGGTAAGCCAGGAAGAGCGACTACCGGTTCTTCAGGTTGGACCGGTTCCGCTTCATCCATAGTTTTTTCTTCGTCTGATTGTTGAACGAGCTCTTCCAACTGTTTTTCGGCACAGGCAGTCAGGAGTAGACAGGTTATCAGTATTATTATTCCTGGACTGGATAGCAGGTTTCGTGTTTGCGTTTTCATTATGAATCCCTCGATTTTTAGTAGATGATTTGTTATATTGTGTTGGCGAGGTTTCCTCAAGCCAATTCCGACAAGGATATAGTTTAATTATCCAAAATGTATAAAAACAAATTATGCGTATACCACAATTTAGTATAAAACAAAGTAGCAAACATTTCAAGTAAATTGCACGTGCTTTGTACGAGACTGTCAATTCTCGGTTTTCGGTCAGTATGACGCGCACCTTACCATCCGTAATTTTCGTTTGCCTTTCTGTCTGTTGTTACAGTATTATCAGATTTTCCGAGACTAAAACCTCGCTTTTCAAAGCGGGGATACAGTGTGTCCCTCGTTAATTAGACCAAACCTTTGTAGAAAAAGCGTTTACATTTGGTCTAAAATGTAGTATAATTATAGTATCAGTTTGGGCAGACATATTCAGCGTAACCGCAAGGTTACGTGTCGGTTGCCTACCCACTGAATAGGGGTTAAAAAGACTGATACCCTGATACCCATGCGAAATACAAAACATAAATTTTTTCATGATAGAGGCTTGAAGCGTTTGCACAACGAGTTGGATATCTGTGGCGTTGTGAGAAACCACTTCAATGCGTTATCTATGCGCTATTACCGCCGCTATGGTAAAGGGCTTTCGTATGGGAAAATGTCTAAGCACTTGACGAAACTTAAGAAGCTTGAAAAGTATAAGCATTGGCATATACCGTATGCGTGGGCATTACAGAATATCCTTAAACGTCTGGCCCAAAGTTTCAAAGAAATGCGAACCTTGAAAAGAGGTCACCCCCAATTCAAGTCCTGTAAAAAACATAAAGGTATGACGTTTCGGGGTGAACAAGTTAAGTTAGAAAAAGTATTAGACGCTCAGAAGCATGAGAGAAAGCACCCTACATATAAGATTCGTTTGAACGGTCGTTGGTATCGTTTCGCCTTACATCGTGAGATAAAGGGACAGATCAAAGAAGTTCATGTAACAAGAGACGCACTGGGAGACGTGTATATCACGCTCACTGAAGATTACTCGGAAGTCATTTACGAACCTAAGACGGGTAAAGCCGAAGGGTTTGATATGGGTATCAAAGACTTTCTAACTGGCAGTGACGGCAAACGATACACCTCTCCGATGTTTTACAAACAGAACGCTAAAAAGTTAGCGAAAGCACAAAGAGACTATTCACGTAAGGTTAAAGGTTCTAATAACACAGAACGGTGTCGCAAGCAAGTCGCACGTATCCATAAAAAGACTGCGAATCAGAGAACAGACCACCATTGGAAACTTGCTATAGACCTTTGCCGTCAGTCGGATATAATGTTCTTTGAAGACCTGAACCTTACGGGTATGAAAGCCCTCTGGGGTCAACAGGTATCTGACCTCGCTTTCGGTGAGTTTCTTCAGAAACTAAAGCACCAATCGAAGAAAAGGATACGCGCCGTGCTGAAGATTGGACGCTGGACTCCTTCTACAAAGTGCTGTTCCGTTTGTGAATATAAAAACGAAAATTTAACGTTAGCAGATAGAAAATGGATATGTCCGAAGTGTCAGACATATCTTGACAGAGACCATAACGCTGCTATCAACATTCTTAAGGAAGGGGTAGCTTCCTTTGGCTTAGGAGTTGTAAGACCTATTGTATGGCTTGGCAAAATAGTAGGCTGCTCCGTTGAAGCGCACAGTTCGCTTCTGAATTCCACAAATGCTTTCGCATAACTTTTGCGGAAGCCTCGCCCTTTAGGGCGGGGTCTATCACATGGATATAAAAGATTCAGGTGCAGTTGCTATTGAAGATCATAAAATACGAGACAATAACAAAAAGGAACAGAAGTGATGCTCAGAAATTTATTTAAAGGTCGTGATAGAAATGATATTGAATCCAATGCTGAAGACAAACAGGAAAACTGGTTTAATCGACTCAAGTCCGGTTTGGCGAAAACCCGGAACCAGTTCATGTCTCAGTTGTCAGGGCTCCTGCGGATCGGGAGAAAAATTGACGAGGACCTGATGGAGGAAATTGAAGAAATTTTGATCCAAGCAGATGTAGGTGTTGATACGACGTTGATGTTAATGGATAACGTGAGGGAGAGAGTAAAGGCAGAGGGGTTGAGTGATTCTTCGGAGTTGGAATCGGTCATAAAATCGGAAATTCTGAAGCTGCTTGGCGAGGATATGCCTCTGCAAGTTAAAGCTGAAAAACCGTATACAATTTTAGTTCTCGGTGTAAATGGTGCCGGAAAAACGACGACTATCGGTAAACTCGCGAATCGTTTTATCACGGACGGGCATCGCGTGCTTGTCGCTGCAGGTGATACGTTTCGTGCAGCAGCAGAAGACCAACTCGCGATCTGGTGTGAGCGGGCAGGTGCCGAACTGATCCGCGGAGGAGAGAGTGCTGAACCTGCTTCTGTCGTCTTTGATGCAATTCACGCAGCGAAGCATCGCAATGCAGACGTACTCATTGTGGATACCGCCGGGCGGCTGCATACCAAAAAACCGCTGATGGATGAGTTAGCGAAAATCGGGCGTGTGATGGAGCGAGCACATGCTGGCGCACCGCATGAAGTACTTCTTGTCGTTGATGGGACGGTGGGCCAGAATGGTTTGATGCAGGCGAAAACTTTCAACGGCGCGGTGCCGATTACCGGTGTCGCTGTTACGAAACTCGACGGGACAGCAAAAGGGGGGATCGTGATTGCCGTGAATGCGGAGATTGGCGCGCCGGTCAAACTCATCGGGATCGGTGAGAAACTTGACGATTTAAGGGATTTCGCGGGAGCAGATTTCGTTGAAGCACTCTTTGCAGCAGAAGAAACAGCGGATACATAGTCCACAGCCTTGTTTGTGCGCAAGATGTTCGTAGCTGCCTACACGATGGGCGTATGCGCGCCGGATAAGCGCGCATACAGAAACTTCTAAGAATCTGATTCTTGTAGGTAGGGACGTAAATGTTTGCGGAGATTACGATGTGCGTGTAGCAGATGCGCCTTGACTGTGCCATCAGATCTACCAACGACTGCCGCAATATCTTTAAGCGAGAGCCCGTCCCAATGTCGCAGAATGAAGATTTGCCGTTGCTTTGGTGGGAGTCGGCGAACTGCTTTCCGGATGTGGGTTCTCAACTCTTTATTCTCAACCGCTTTTGCTGGCGACTCTGCACGAGGGTCAGCGATATTTGCCATCGGCAATTCCCCGGATTCATCGGAATCATACAGGAGCACTTCTGATCTCGCTTTTTTTCTTAAAAAATCGATACAGAGGTTGACCGTGATGCGATAAAGCCAGCTATAAAACTGGCACTGGCTCTTAAAATCGCCTAATCCTTGGTAAGCGCGTATGAATGCGTCTTGCGTGAGGTCCAAGGCATCTTCGCGGTTTGAGATGAAGCGTTGCACCAAGCGGTAGGTGCGTTTCTGGTAGCGGGTAAAGAGCGTATCAAACGCGGCGGTATCGCCTTGTTGAAATCGCTCAATCAGTTCGGTATCATTATAACACTCTGGAGGAAGGCTTTCGGGGCTTTGGGGCTGCATGTTCTCCTCTTAAGCGTCATCGGCCGGAAAAGCGGTTTCTGGCTTTTTTGGAAAACAGAAACTCTGGTGGCCATTGACAGAATAGAAGTCACTAATTCGTTTGTTTGTAGACACTGCGAAACCAACGTTTATATCTTTGGCTATCTTGAACCATCTGTTGTAGAAGTATTGATTCTTCGTCTCCTTCAGCATGTGGAGCACTCTCAAGTAAGGCAACTAATTCCTCATAGACGACGTTGTCTTCATGGACGAGTGCTGAGAGTAGCACCTCCATATCTTCACCGCGGCCGAGTAGACTCAACAGTTGGTTCGTATGACGAATTTCCTCGGAAGCGGCTTGGTTCAGGTACGCCGTGAGTTCATGTTCATTCTGCTTTTCTGCGATTTGCGCGAGAATCAATCGCATCCCGACAAGTTTCAGTTTTGCCTGTGCGAGTTCGTCCAAATCGGCTTCAAACCGTTTTTGGAGATGATCCGCATCGCGGGGTGTAACTGTGCATAACTTGGCCACACCGGCTTTGCCATCACCTGTTTCAACCGTTTCAGGCTTTCAATCAGGCTTTCACGTTCTTGCGTGGATAGCTGCCCAAAAGTGCTTTGCCAAAAATCTGCCGCGTGTTCTACACCCTTGCGGAAAAGTTCTTCAGACTGCGGCGCGAGTTGAATCCGAGCACGTCTCCGGTCTTTATCACATTTACGACGGATTACCCAACCATGCCGTTCCAGACGACTCACTAAGCCAGATGTTGTGTTATGGGCGAGACCCAAGTGCTCACCGAGTTCACTCACTGACATGCCAGCATCACGACCATACCAATGGAGGTGTTGTAGGGCGTTAAACTGGACAATCGTCAGGCGATTCGGGACAACTTCTTGAACAAACCTGGATCTAACAGCCGCTTGCGCATGACGCATCACACGCATTACGACATCAATCTCATTATGGAATTCCTGATCTTTAGACATGTTAGGTATTGTAAAGTTGTAAATTAATAAATAGTAAGTATGAATGCTAACTATTAAGCCAATGTTGAAATGAGCAAGTCGAAAAAACTTGCGACAAGAAAAAAATACGTCCTATATCGGATATATTTCCCGTCGTATACGATATAATTATACGCGCATTTTGCCCGAATGTCAAATTAAAATGCGAAAAACATCCAATTTCGGCATCTTTTTTACCCAAAACTTTGTATTTTGGTAAAATTATACGCATTTTTCAGAAAATTAGCGGTTTTTTTAATTGCTGCCGACGAGACGTTGTGCTTTTATTTTCCGCTTTCGCTTCGGTTTCGACTTGCTTTTCTGCGGTGGCGTTTGCGACTGCTGCGATTCTTGTTCGTTTTCGTGCTGCTTATCTTCTTCGTTTTCTTGTTGCTGTGCTATGTACTCGGCATAGTTGCCTTCAAAGAGGGTCGCCGTCCCTCCAGGCATCCCATCAAAAATTAATAGTTTCGTCGCGAGACTGTTCAAAAGGTACCGATCGTGAGAAATAATAAAAAGCGTTGCAGGATATTCCGCCAGTGCTGCTTCTAATGCTTCACGCGCCGGTATGTCAAGGTGGTTCGTCGGTTCATCAAGTAAGAGCACGTTGGCGTTCGCTAATAGCAACTTGGCGAGTAGTACACGGCTCTGCTCACCGCCGCTCAGGTTCCCGATCTGTTTGAAAACGTCATCGCCGGAGAATAAGAACTTACCTAAGAAACTGCGTATCTCACCTTGGGTCTGCTGTGGACGAAGTTCCCAGATTTCGTCAATGATCTCATTATTGAGGTTGAGTCCCTCCAATTCTTGCGTATAGTATCCAAACTTCAGCGTAGGACCTACCCACATGTCGCCTTCTGTAGCGGACTCCTCTCCCAAAATCATACGGAAAAGAGTTGTTTTTCCCGTACCATTTGCCCCGATAATTCCCACAACATCACGATGGTATACCTCAAAATTCAGATCCTTGAAGATTGCCTTTTCGCCGAACGCTTTGCCGACATTTTTGCATCGAAGGATGTCGTTTCCACCGCGGGTTTCAGGTGTAAAGTTGAGTTTAAGCGTTCGCGCATCGTGCTTAGGTTTTTCGACTCTCTCCAGTCGCGCTAATTTTTTCCGTCTACCTTGTGCTTCTCGTGTCCGCTGTCCTGCGATATTGAGGCGAATAAATTCCTCTTCGTGTTCAACAAACGCTTGTTGTTTCTTGAATGCGCGTTCTCCAACTAACTTTTCAACGTTTTTGGTTTCGACGTACTTGGAGTAGTTCCCACGATATATTTTTATCTTATGTGCTTCGAGTTCCCAAACCTTTCGAACAACCTTGTCCAAAAAATAACGGTCGTGCGAGACAACAAGAACTGCACCGTTATATTCGATATTGAGATAATTTTCGAGCCACTCAATCCCTTTAATATCAAGGTGATTCGTCGGTTCGTCGAAGAGCAACAGGTCAGGCTTTTCAAGGAGAAGTTTTGCGAGTGTTGCCCGGCTCTTCTGACCCCCGCTCAGAACGCGAATTGGAAAATTAAAATCCAATTCAGCGAAACCTAAGCCGCTAAGAATTCGGTTAATCTGATGTTCATAGTCGTAACCGCCGAGCCGTTCATGCTGCTCCTGAATCTGGGCATATTCTGCTAAGAGATGTGGTGCTTCTTGTGTCTCCATCTCCTCTGCTAACAGGAGCATCTTGTCTTCAAGGGCGCGCCGTTTTTCAAAAACCTTAAGCATCTCCTGCCTTAACGTACAGTCGCGCGAGAGATCCGGTTCTTGGCTGAGATACCCGATGCGTAGTCCCTTCGCGGACACTACTTTCCCTTTAAAATTGGGAAGCATACCGTTAATAATTTTAATTAACGTTGTTTTTCCAGTTCCGTTACGACCAATTAATCCAAGTCGGTCTCCGTGCGCAATTGAGACGGAGATATCGTCCAGAATCAAGTCCGGATCGTAGAGTTTAGTGACGTTTTCTAATCGTATTAAAGACATATTTTTGACGTAGCTTGCAAGTCAAAACTTGCTGTTAAAAAGTCTGTTTTGATAGGTTTGCTTGTGTTAGCAATTGTCCATTGCTCGCTACGAGTTATCATTGCCTGATACGTATTCGCGCGCTGCGCGTCTGGACGGCGGATGTTAAATTGTCTAAATCGCCAGAATGCTATAGAGAACGCGGCGTAGTGAACGAAGCAGTCCAAATGCTGCCATTCGCTGTCTGTCAAAGGACGCACTGCGTTATAGGCATCCAGAAATTGGCGCACAGCCTTTAAAATCAGTTGGTGTTGTGGTGTATAACAACTCCCGATGATCGTCATTCCGATGTCAATTAGCAGTGTGTCATAACACCCTTCCTCGAAATCAAGGATGGCAACCATCTGTTCACCCTTGAAGAGTGTATTGTCTAAGAAAAGGTCACCGTGTAAAAGCCCCATGGGAAGCGAAGCATTGAGTTGCGGTTCCACTGATTCCAATTGCGACTTTAGCGATTCAATGAACGGATGTGTGGCAAATTGTGTGTTTCTCACCTCTTCAAAAAAAGGTCGCATTTGTGATATTCCCATCGCAAAATGAGGGAGTCCAGCAATTGGTGGAATGCAGTGCAGTTTCGCCAACGCCTCGCCGAGTTGTGCCAGTATATTCGGTGAAGGTTCGGGTTGTGTTCCATTCAGGAACGGATAGAGCATCACACTGCCAAACGTATCATGAATTAAATGCTTCTGGTCCTTCGTTAGAATCGGGTATACCGTCGGATATCCATGCGGATGGAGATGCTCCAAAAGCGAGATTTGCATGTTGAGTTCTGCTGAGTCTTTCTCGTCGCAAATTTTCAGCAGAAACTCACCGTTTGTGGTTGTCAGTTTAAAGTTACTATTCCCGAATCCACCGCGGATCTCCTCAAGTTTCAGTGATGTCCCGATCGGGTATTGTGCGACAATGTGCGCGAGCTCTGTCGGTGAAAGGGTTGTGTAGCGTGCCATTTGTGATTTTCGTGATTAACCAAGGAAACGCGCAACTTAATTAGAGATCCGCTTTTGACAACGGAAAAAGCGGCGCAAAACCTAATTCGTTAAAATATCTTGGAATTCCGGGGTGTTACGGATGCTATCAAATGCGGGGTCCGCTTTCGCAGAGGGAAGAGCCTCTTTGTCTATCTGAATCGCTTTACGCAGGGATGCAATGGATCTTGTCTTTTCTTCCTTGTGTAAATAGGCAACGGCGAGATTATAATGCGCCTTCGCAAAATCGGCATCTAACTGCGTAGCACGCTCCCATACTTGGATAGCTTTGTCGAGTTCTCCTTGATTGCCATAGACAACACCTAACGTAAAAAATGGCATTACCCACCCCGGTTCGTTCTGGATCGCTAATTCAAGTTCCGTGATGGCTTGGGCAAAATTACCGTTCTCGGCAGATTCTATACCCCAATTGTAGTGTGCGACGGCGACTTCGTTCGGTTCAGGTGCATCCGTGCTTTGTGAATACGGTATCGCTTTCGGAGCACACGCGGTGAGACAGAGCAGTAACCCTGTGATTAACAGTAGTGCATTCCATTTATATAGAATAGTCATAATTTTTCCTCCATCGTCCCGTTACATTTTAGCAGAAGATAGGTTTGAAATCAAGGTTCCCTGGCTTTTTCGACGTAAATGGTGTACACTTTCGGATCTTCTGGACGGATTCCGGTGAAATTGAGTCGGACACGGATCGTTTCTTTTCCTTTAACCCATTCACCCCTTTTCCACTTCACTTTTTGATGAAATCCTGATGTAAAAGGGAGGCAGTCTTCTCTGGAATACCCTTCAAGTGGTTGGAAACGTTCGTCTAAGATGTCAACTGTAATCTGACTATACTCGGATAATCCATCAACATTCAGGGATACGCTGCAAGGTTGGCCTTCAAGATCAATAGGTGCGGAAATCACGTGTCGTGGCTGTGCCGTTTTCCGGGTCATGTCTGCTGCTTGGAAGTAGCCGAGCCGATCGCGCTTCCATGTTGCGATCCGGACACCATTGCTAAGCTGCTCTGGCCACGGGGCATACCAGAAAAGCGTCTCATCGCCGACGTTTTCAAAGCCTTGTCCTTGCATCAGTGCGGCGTGTTTGAAATTCATCGGTGTCGGTAGGTGTTCAAAATCGTCCTCCGCTGCTTCTACCATCTGAAAATCGGGAATAGGTTCTCGGTAATGAAGCGCATCGTTGCTGACGACCAAACCGAGATCCATTGTTACGTGCCGTCGGTCATTGTTTTCTGGTCCATGCCACTGTCCGTAGAGACCGAGAATCACGTTCCCGCGATTCCATAGCGCAGCCCCGAGATGTACTTGTTCACCTTGGTGTGCCCCGTATACGATAGGTCTCGGTGGGATGTTACCCCGTCTGAAACCTAAGCACGAGGCTTCAATCCAGTGTTCAAAGTCGTAAGAGGCGTACATTACCATCTGCCGTGTGGGACCTATATGGCTCCCGCCGTGTGCAGTTAGGTAGTAGCAACCGTTGAATTTAGTAATACCGGACATTTCGCAGGAGGGCGGGTGAGGGTGCCGTTCGGCTTCGTGCCATCGGAGTCCGTCTTCGCTAAACATGACTGCGAATTTTGGGGTGTATTTGGAGGTCTCAATAATGGCTTTGAACCGACGTGCAGGATCCGGGTCATTGGGTTCATAATACACAACACACGCCTGAATATGGTACTGTCCGCCTTGGATATCCACGAGGTTGTTTCGGGTCGAGCCGTTGTATTCCACCAATCCAAGTTCTGGTTTTTCCCAGTTATAACCATCACGGCTTTTTGCGAAGCACACCCGATGGTGCCAACTATCATCATCTCCCTGTGCTAAGTACCACATCCAGAGTTCGTCGCCAACGCGATGAACAGATCCATAGTAGATAACGCGGGAACTGTCCGGTGTACCGGAAGGACCGGGATGTACGACAATTCGGGTCCGATCAACGCCAGCTCTGTAAGGCACAAGATGTAGCCGAACACCGTGTTGAAACGGGATACTGTAGTCGTCGAAAGGGAACAGCACGATGTGATCAGTGCTTACGTGTTCGGGATTGTTTTTGATAATCATGTTTTAGTGGTTATCGGTTGTCAGTTTTTAGTTTGCCTCGCAGTGAGAGTTAAAGAGGTTTCTGGTGTATATCAGGCGTTTCTTCTAAAATTGCGTCGTAAACGAGTGGCTTGACCGTTTCACTCAGTTCGGAAAAAGGGATGTGTTGTGCAAGTGTGATCACAACCAATTCATCTCGCGGCGAAATCCAGAATTCTGTGCTTGATCCGCCGATCCAACCGTATTCGCCAACTTGGGAGGCAGGTATCCAGTCCGTCTGTTGTACGCGGACCGAGACACCGAGGCCAAAACCGAGTCCAGCATAACGCTTATCCGGTTTTTTGTTGAGCGGTATCAGATGTTCTGGTAAGTGGTTGCGTGTCATCAATTCCACGGATTCTGCTTTCATTAACCGTTTCCCGGCAAGTGTGCCTCTGCCTGAAAGCATCAGACAGAATCGAGCAAAATCGGCAGCGGTAGAGACTAAACCGCCACCCGCGGATAGGAATTTCGGCTTCTTTCTAAAACTGGTTTCGGATACATTACCGGTTCCGCCCTCCGGTGCGTCAATAACCCGCAAGCCACCCTCCGGCGTTGGACTGTACATTCCTGCGAGTCGATCAATTTTTTCCGGGGGAACATAGAATCCGGTATCCACCATATCTAACGGTTGAAAGATTCGCTCGGCTAAGAACATATCGAAAGGCTGACCGGAAGCCACCTCAATCAGTCTACCCAAAACATCTGCGGCGATGCTGTAGTGCCATTTTGTTCCCGGTTGGTACAGCAGCGGAATCTTGCCCAGTCTCTTGACCATTTCTTGTAGATTGCACTCGTGCAAACGGTGCAAATCCACCTCTCGGTAGCGTTTATCTACCGCGGTTTGCCCTGCCATGTATCGGCCGGCACCGGGTAGTCCAGCAGTGTGCCGCATCAGGTCTCGGATGGCCATGTCTCGATCTGCTTCAACGAGTGTAAGTGTTTCTGCATCTGCCGCTGCTGCGACTTTCAAGCTTCCCAGTTCCGGCAGGTATACTGAAACTGGTGCATCAAGTTGCAGTATACCTTCTTCACAGAGCATCATCACCGCAGCGGCAGCGATCGGCTTGGTCATTGAGTAGATGCGGAAGATTGTGTCTTTTAGCATCGGTTTGCTCGTTTCAATGTCCTTCATGCCATGAGCCTCAAGGTGTGCTACTTTGCCGCGCCTTGCCACAACCGTTACCGCGCCAGCAAGTTGCTTGTCATCAATAAACCGCTGCGCGGTGGCAGAGATACATGCAAGCCGCTCTACCGAAAGTCCTACCTCGTATGGTGCTGCGCTGAGATTGGGATTTAATTCTATAGTGTTCATTTTTCAGGATACCACAAACGCTTTGGAATTTCACATTTTCGCACTACTTTACACAAGCGAATTCAAGATCGGGAGCAAAGTACGCATAGTCGGGACATCTCGGAACGTGAAACCGAACTGCGAGAAATATTCGGATGTCTCAAGTGCGTCTGCAATCAGGGGATTCTTTTCCAACTCCTTTGAGACACCAAGGATGAGGGACACTTCAGGATGTTCTGTGAGCGTGTTGAGCCTCGCAATAAGATGTCCTTGATGCCACGGATGGAACAACTCAATGGCAGTCTCCACACCGCTTTTATGGATGAGTTGGTAGTCGGGGAAGCAGTA